GGACCCCGGTACCCATTGTAGAGGAGGCTGGGTGGGCCCCAGAGCCGGTCTGGACACAGAGGTCAGGGGAAAAATCCTCTGCCCCAGTCGGGGATCGAATCCCGGTCGTCCAGTCCGTAGCCAGTCACTATTCTGACTGGGCTACGGATAATAAAACTTTTTGTGCACCATTCGGTAAGAGTACACATGTAGCAGGTTGAATTCGGATCATTTGTATTAATGCTAATTGTACCAAGACGTAAGTAATATCAGTGATAAATGAAAGTCTGTCTGAAATGAACATACTTTCAGGACCGTGAAACAGAACTGTGCTGTGTGCAATACCTTCACACCAGAGGTCGTCGGCCTCCTTCTGCACGTAGATGGGGTCACCTATCTCTACTTCGATCTCGTCGTGGTGTCGGGGCACGAACTTGTGGAGTCCTCTATGTGTCGCCTCCAGCAGCTCCAACTGTGTGAAAGGAACCCCTCCGCTACTCGAAGGAGACGTAGACTCTGGCGACCGGAATCCTGCGCAACAAGACCCACGCGTTGTCATCCATCACTGAATACAGTGTCTTCTTGGGCGATCAGCCACGTAAGTTACAATGAAACGTTTCGGAGACTGTCTCTGCCTCCATCATCAGGGTTTTTATTCGATGTGACAGATCAGTTTCACATGCATACAAAACAATGAAAGACCAATACTCATCGAATTCGTTTTCTTCGTCATGTCTGCTCGTTTCCATTCCTCGTTCGGAATGAAAGACACTCTTATGAAATTCAAGAAATTCTTTCCGACTTTTCTGACAACACAGCTTTACAGGAGCCCACCTTGCTGTCCGAGTTGCGGTGACATGGACTTGAGTCCGTCTGGCGAGTGGGCCGTGGAGTTGCCCGAATCCACGTCCGTACTGTGAAAACGCTCCGAATCCGGGGAAATGGCCTCATCTGCTAAGACAAGAAACTTCATGAGCACTGCGCCTGTTCGTATTTTCATGTCCTGCTTATGTAGTGCGGAGCTGTAGGCGGTAGGACTTACCCCTTAGATAGCTATGGCACTTGAGTATGAACAAGGGCCTCGTCTGACCCCCCACTGCGAATTGCAGGGATTCAGGCATAACGCTATCACCCGTGTCCATGAGATCTGCCAGTTCGTCGGCCAACGACGGCTGCACAATCGCCATCACAGACGCTGCAACAGCCAGTCGAAACACACATCTTCATCTGTTTGTTCGCATTAGAATAATGGTTTGGTTCAACACCGTTCCACGAATTTGACAATTAAATCAAATGTGTAAGGCGCGCGTGTTATAAATTTAATTTTTAAAATGTGCAAACACATATTCGCACATTTGAGTGTATACAGGCGCCAGTGTTTCGCGTTTGAATGACTTACACAAAAGTAAATTTTAAGCGCCTAATCTCTATGTCGATGTTGGTTTTCCGGGTTGTAACACAGTGTGGACTCAACGTTCCCGAGGAACATAACGCCTTTGTCTCCTCAGCCCTGTAGATGGAGGCAGTATGTTCCTTGCGAGCGTTAGCATCTACCTACATGTCCACACTATATTACAACCAGCCAGACCAACAACGACATCTTCAACGTTGTCAACGTTTAATACCCACCAGAATATTTAGATCGAATGAAACTGTTCGCTGGGCATTTTATCATTAGGCACGCCAAGAAGATATGCTGATACTGTGAAGTGTCGATAACCGTCTGACTTACATTTCTTATTCTTCGGTATCTCCGGTAGCTTGCGACGCCGTCTCTCACCGGGACCAAGCCGGTGCTGATCTGTCCAGGTCGAGAGATGGTCTCCTCCACTACCGCCACCCTGTTCCTCACCGTGTAGCGGTAGACTGACTCCTGAGCCCGGGGTGCCTCTTTCACGGCCTCGTGTCTCGGTGGACACTGTAGCGGTGACCTCGTCTTCGTCGTCGTCGAGGTCCCCTGAAGCCCTGTGTGGCTCTGAGCCGATGCTGTTTGTGGGGCTACAGCAAAGGGGATCTTCCTCGCCATCGCTCTTCGACGTCGTGGAGTTGGAATCTTCGTCCAACAGAACATCGTGTACCAGCCTGAGGCAACAAATGTAAGTCTGAAGTCGTTTCTTCGCTGCTTTGAATGTCCCATTAGTGATTTATTACAAAGCTATCATATTACATTCTATTCCACGTTCTGCTGTCTGAAGTTATTTTTACGAAAAATAATTATTTTTTGGAGCGTTTGTGTCTCAAAATAGGATTCTCAGGAGAATATTTGTACCTAAGAGGGATAAAGTGGCTGGAGGTTGGAGAAAATTTCATGATCAGAAGCTCCATAATTTATAAACTTCTCCAAGTTTAATTAGGATTTTAAAATCAAGAAGAATGAAATGTGTTGGGAGTGTGGCGTGCGTGGTTGAGATAAGAAATGCGTACATAATTTTGGTTGGGAAGCGTTAAGAGATCACTCAGAAAACCTAGGCGTAGATGAGATGATAATATTAAAATGAATCTTTCGGAATAGTGTGGGAGGGTGTGGACTGGATTTAAGTGGTTCAAGACAGGGGCCGCTGGCGGGATTTTGTGAACACGATAATGAACCTTCAGATGCGGGTAATTTCATGGCTAGCTGAGCGTACAGTCAGTTTCCGTGAAGTTAATCCTTTTGGTCACCCTTTTGCTGGCATAGCAGTTTTCCCTCCTTTTCTTGAGACTTAAAGCGGTCTCACTTAATGATTAATGAAGTCCCGGTGTTCAATAGATAAAGATGGACAGAATCTCGTATTGAATTAGCTGATGCGAGTGTTTTTATTTGAGCTTTGGCGTATTTAAAGATCTTCGTGGCATCCTTGCGCGATGTGCAAAATCCAGAATGGTTTGGTCGTATCTGCCCAACAGTTTGTCCGTCCGTATGTTTTGTCTACGAAACTACTGAAAGAGTTTTGATTAAATTTGGTATTGGCGGGGGAAGATAAAAGAAGGCAACTGAATTTTATTTCAGTTCCAATCTGTCTTTTGAATTTTTCAGTGTACTCATAAACAGCTAATCGAACAAAACCGCATAGCTGCATGAGACGAAGAACAAGCCTAATTTATGTACCTATATATTAGTTTGGCCGGTCACAGTGGCCACGCGGTCAGAGACTTGGGACTCTGGGACCGAGGGTTTGAATCCCACTCAAGGCATGGATGTTTGTCCGCGACTTTCTGTGTTGTGCTGTCCTGTGTTCAGGTAGAGGCCTTGCGACGGGCTGATCACTCGTCGAAGGAGTCCCTACCAAATGTCTAAATAGATCAATAAACCTCTGAAAGGGTCCCCTATTCTTCACATGGGAGCGAAAAGTGTGTAAAGAGGAAGATATATTATTTTGAGCTTTTTTGCTTAATAAACTAACATTATCCATGTGAAGATTTCCGTCTTCTGGGTTGTTGTGCAACAACCCAGAAGACGGAAATCTTCATACTCACCGCTGTGAGAACCTCAAGTCTTACATTATCCATGTGGTCCATCAGCTGGTGTTTTCCATTCATTTCGAGTCGGTCCTGATTCTCAAAGACGTTTTTGATTTTATATTCTAAAACGAAGTTTCGGTAACAAATAAACACGATGTTTTAGTTCTTAAAACGAATCGCTTTGTATAAAAATATGTTAGTAATGACGTTGTTTGTTATGTGTTTCGGAATGATGAGTTTTAAAGCATTTACCTATAAGCATATATGAGTACATGGGCATAGGAACAAACATATGTCTGACAGTTTCGTTTCTGAATCTATCTTGCCTCCTGTTCTGAATTCGACCTGTGATTCTATAATCGTATGAGTAGTCATCCAGTTCGACTCCTCGAGTCACAGTCGCTAGCTAAGAGCATTATTCATAAACTTAAAGCCAGTTCTATAGTGGTTATGACGTAACTGTCAAGGAGACATTGAGTTTTGGGTTGTGCTTGAACGTAAGCTGTTGGACTGATAATGTGGATTGAATGTGAGTTTATGACGTAGATAGATGCGATCCATTTTAAGGAAATATCCCAGAACGTCAGTAAATAAAACGTGGACGTGTGGGAAAATGGAGATATTCTTTTAGTCATGATTTGAACTGGGCAGGTCTGTAAAATTTCACCATAAACATATCTGAAACCTACAAATGAAGTTAAATATCTTGAGATCTGTAGTCATAGTACGTCATGAACTATTTATTTTGCACGATGAATCACTTTGACCAATGTTTTAGATACCGATTGAAGTTATATATAACCTTTGTTAAGCCTCTGAAGTACCAAGTTTTTATAGGTAATTTAAAAAAAATCTCTTTAAACCTGATAAAAGACAAAATGCTTATCTATTACAAGGAGAAAATGGTTAATGCTATATGGCAAAATATAGTCAGTAAGTGTTAAAATAGGCTGTACATGCAATATTATTCAATATCGCCTTTCATTAATTTGAGGATATGTTTTATGGCCATAAAAATGAAATACGCAGTAGCCCAGAAACGTCTCCGTTTTGATTTAGAGAGCCTTTAAAATTATTAAGTGTTGCAAACCGTAGAAACCGCGCATATACTCCACCCTTCATGTAACCGTCTTCCGCGTACAGGTAATCAAGGGTAGGTATTATTTTCGTGGCGTTTGTAGCCTCTCAGCCTTCAGGAATCCGAAATAAGAACAAACCACAGATGGCAGTTACCACAAACACAGGCAAGTACTAAGGAATTTCCATCAGGAAATCTCTTAGCATGTACTACGGAACATTTTAAGTAGATGTATCTCAAAATAGAGACGTTTCAGGACCAATATGCATTTTACTTATCTATTGTCATACAACATATCCTCAAAATTATTAAAGGAAATATTGAATCACCCTGTATAGTTACCACTGGCCTTTAAATAGCTGAAGTAGAATTCGCATTGAATTGAAGTTAATTTCGCTCAGTACCAAATTTAATCGAAATCCGTTCAAACGTTTTGGTGATGAAACTAGCTGGCAGATGATACTTCATCATGCTTTTATTATCTGTAGTGTTCAAAGGTTTTGGTGATGAAACTAGCTGGCAGAAGCTACTTCATCATGCTTTTATTATCTGTAGTTAATGTGGAAAACACGTGTAGTTGGACAACAAAAAATAAATAGTCGATCTGATTAAAACGTAGCTTTTTAAATGTTTAATGCCATATTATGATTGCCATTAGTAATAATATTTAAATATGTAACTGTAGATTCTACATTATCGTACAGCCAAATTATTAGCCGGGGATGCCCGGCAGCCGATCAGACATGCAAGCCAAAAAGGTTAAATGGAAGAAGGATTTATTGTTTCATCAAGTTACTCACGTGTAACTCTGTGCTGGGGCCTTGATGTGTTGTGGCAGTCTTTCGAAATAATGCCGGAATTCTTCAAACTCAGTGTCCGCCATGTTTATTGTCAGTCTGCTGCCATTAACACCATCTCGTTCGACCCGACCCACAATCCTCTGCGCGACGCAGCTCGCTTTATGACGACGCTGGAAGTGTGCGTCGCGTCCATGGCATCTGCTATATTGATTGAGGACGGTTTCTGTAAAGTAGCGTGACTCAGAATTCGGGTTCATCCGCCCATGAGGGTGTCATAGACGATCTGGATTTCCTTTTCAGCTAATGGAAAATATGTACAGTGAAGTGCCTCGGCAGTGGAGTAGATTTTGTATACATATTACTAACGGGGCTGCTCCAAAATTTTACAGGTAGTTATTCACAGCGGTAAATAATTGTACAGCCAATTTAAAATTTCATTGTTTGTCCCTCTTTCCACCGATTATTATATTGACTGAAAAGCCTTAGGGGAAAATACTAGTCGGTGACTTAGGCGTAGGTCGGAGGATAATATTAAAATGTATCATAAGGAAATAGGGTTGAAGGATCTGGATGTGGTTCAAGACACGGATCGTCGGCTGGCTCTTGATAATACGATAATGACTTTCGGGATCCATAAAAGCCGTGGAATTTCTTGACTAGCTGAGTGACTACGAACTTTTATAGACAAATTTTGCTCCACGCAGTTAGGTTAATTGGAATTTCCTACCGGGCTTCCTAGGTCACAGGAATTTTATTATGTCTCTCGGACTGTACTAACAGGTGAATCTTAGAAAAGTTTGATTGATGAAACTGATGGTGCGTGTGGAACGTAATGAGGAAGGGTCTGAGGAAATTCCAGAAATGTTTATAAATATAATCGAGACATAAACTCAGTCTAGTGGTGCGTTCCGAATACAAAGCCGCTACTTTCTGCTGATAAGAATACAAAGACATATTTGCAGCAAAGGGAGAGAATGTGAAGGGAATAAAATTATAGGACACTAAAATATCTTAATCATCATCATCTATGGCTCTACAACCCAGTGTGGGTCTTGGCCGCCTCTTTTTGAGGTTACTTAATCTTGGTAGGACTCCTTGGACGAGTGATCAGCCCGTCGCAAGGCCTATATCCGTACATAGGACAGCACAGTACAGAAAGACGCGGGCAAACATCCATGCTTTGAGTGGGATTCGAATCCACGGTCCCAGCGACCAAGCGGCACAAGGCCCACGCCTTAGACCGCTCAGTGACTGTGACCGGTATCATAAAATATGCCAAAACTAAATATTTTTCCTACAATATTAACGAATTTACTGTGATTAGAATACCAAGAAATACTTATTACTGTCTTGAATGTTCCACTTTAGACATTTTTGAGTTTAAAACCCCAGCTTTAACGTGGATTTGTATCTAAAGGAAGGTTATTCTTCTCACATTAAGCTCGTTTTACCTGTTATTGCGCTATATTTTTGGTTTTAAGCGAAGAGCAAATGTTATGAGCCAACTACTGTTAATATGGGAAAACACCTATTCTTACAATTGCAATACAAATATTTAATTTCTTCCGTATATTTCTTCATTTTTAATGTTGTGTAATCTGACACTTCATAAATTAATTTCCGCTGCTTGATTTTGTAGATCTGAAAGAGGCTTAGGCAGATGTTTTTATTTAAGTTAATTTGTAAAGTACTGTTCGTTTTTGTAACTCGTCGTTAAGGATTATTTTATAAATGGATTTACTGATATCACGTTGCCATTACTAGAATACTCTTTTGA